AGTTCATGAACAGTTCTTTAAAGTATGAAATATTCTTGACTTCATGCATTTCATTTCGCAGGGGTATTACAGGAGTTGCTGATGCAGGGGTTTTTGTTGTTGTTGTTCTTGCAATGCAAAATGAGATAGAACATTTTAGAAAGGCTGATTATAAGCTGAGTCTTGATAGAGATAACACTTGTTTTCTGTTGGTTTATCAACTATAAACAACAGTGTTGATGATTGTTAACCAGTGTTCCTGTAGATATAATGGTATCTTGTAGGATTTCAATGCAAGATGAATTCAGATTTCCATTGGTCAATATAAAATTGATACTTAACTGCTCCTTTTTTTTTCAAACATAAATTGGTGATTAATTAGAAACAATGTAACTGTCTCAATGTAATTAAGTTTTGTAAAAACAAATATGTATAATAATCACTTAATTCAAAATAAATATGTAAAAATAAAGCTTTAGAATGTTTTAATGAAAGTTAATTTAGGAAAAAATATTTATCGCCAACTTGTTGTTATAGTTTTTGACAAGTTTGATTTGCCCCTTTTATGAGTTTGAATATGATTACATAAAATTTGAGTCAATTATAGCCTTAAGTCAAGCATGCTGGTCAAAAACTACGGTATTTCTTTCTACTGTACAATATTTTGCTGAGTAATCAAGTTGTAATGCTTCCCGGATTTCAGCAACACTGATTGTATAACAGTTAATATTGTTGAATGATAATTGAAAATCTATAGTAATATTGACCCTATAACACTGCCACCCTGAAGTAATTACGAGTTAACAAGCTATTTCTGATCACATATCACCCATGTATCTGTCGTGTTGATACAGCTCTGCTGATCTTTATCTCTCGCCACTATGATTGATATTGATTGATAGATAGTGGATCGATCCTTAAACACGGCTATCTGTTCCTCCGGTTAATACCGACTTGGGGACAAATAATGAAATACCTTTAATTAAGATATACCACTGATTCTTATGCTTTAACTGTTAAAATACTGAAATGTTGTACTGTTAGATACAATGTATATATTAATATAAGTGATATTTATTCTAACAGTTAAACTGTGAGTTGCTAACTGCTAGTATTTAAGCACATGCACGGCAGGAGAACAATTAATAGATAGTAGGGCTAGATGCTGCAGTGATTTTTCTGCTTGTTCGAATAGCAGCAAAATAATGTTTGTATATTTTCATGAGTTTATTGGAGGAATACTCTGTTGTAATAACAAGATGACAACAGTATAATGCACTAGAAGAACGGATTAATCGTGTTAAAGCTGGATGTATAATAAGTAATGAAATAGGATTTTATTATACAATGTTGTATTCTACACCAGTGAAGGCTTAGAATAGTTCTCTTTATTGCATTACTAAGGCATTATAGTATATGACAATATGATTTGGATTTTACAGGAGAAAAAAGGTAAAAATTCTATTTTATTTATGATAATCTTATTATTTTTAAAATTTTAGTTAAATATTGAAACTTTTGTCTAGCATATTCAAATTGTTTTACATAGTGAATGGAGTGTTGTCATAATTAAATTCCAACAGTGAGCCAGGAAAACAAATTAAATTAATTGTTTTGAAATTCCCTGTGAATGGTTCAATTTGGTTTAATTATTCAACATTGGGCACATTTCTTCCCTTGGGATTAATTAAGCTAAATTAGAATAATTGAACTGATTAAAACTTTCATCAGCAAAGGAAAGGGAGGAGAAAAACATTAGTGATTTTTTTTTCAAAGTGATTGTTCCATGCCTTTATTTGCAACTAAAAAAGATTAAAACAAATAAATTAATTGTTTTAATTTTATTTTCTTTAAACATCTAAGTTGGTAACTAAGTTCATTTTCTCTATAATAAGTAATTTTAATTTCTATGTTCAAATATCATTAAATATGATTAGATAATGGTGTCCACTCAATTTAGCCTGTGTGGATTTTAGGAGGCCAAAACAGAATATAATCTTCATTGGCATTTGAACCCAAGACCAGATTTGAACCCATTAGACCCCTGAATATGAAGTTTCAAATGCTTTGATAAACCAGTTTTCCTTAATCTTTTATAAACTAATACTATGCTATTTATCAAAGATATAGTTTTTATCATTTGGAAAGCAATGTTTTGAAACATTATACTATTGTTGAATATCATACACTGATAAACTTTCAAAACATGGCAATGTTAAATTGCCACTGGTGTGGATATAGGTATATTAATGGGTCATCTACTCAGGACTTGGCAATCTGTCTTGTTTGAAATAAATACTGCAGAAAATTTCAGAATAAAATTCTTCTTGAATAAATAGTATTATACCATAGTTAATTTTACTAACCTGTTTATACATTTGTAGTAGAATGCTGTGTTAGCAAAAAGTAATATATTTTTTGTGAAAAAACAACAACAATACAGCTATACAAAACGTTGCTTCTACTAATCCATAAATTAGTTGATCATTAAAACTTCTGGCATTTTTGGTAGCTGGAGGACATTACTGGTAGTCTGGTGCTTTATTTTTATTCACACAGTATTTTCAAAAGGTTCAATACTGCTATAAGAAATGGGAATTAATCTCTGTTCTGGTCACATAATAATGGAAAGGTAGTAATACAAAAAATAATTACCTTGATAGTATTTAGTATCAGACCTTACAACAAACCACAAAAAATATACATAATTATATATATGTATATGGATGTTGTCTGCAAGTGTGGGATACATTATTGCATATATTTATATAGCAGATAATAAAATGTTTTTGAATAAAATATTATTCATCATATGAATTTTTCATATTAAATCAATAAAAACTTTATATCAACATTTTTTTCTCAAGCAATATTTTATGAGTATATCCAAATGATACATTTCTATTGTTTTTATCAATATTTAAAAAATGTCCACATTGTAGACCTGTCCCCTTTAAGCTATTATCTGTTTCAACCATAGTATCATTTGATAAATCACAGGTGATGGACTAAAACAGGAACAGTACTGGTATAGCAATGACAGTAATGCTTTGTTTTGGCAGGAACAGTACTGGTATAACAGGGACAGTACTGGTTTATTTGACAGGAACAGTACTGGTATAACCAGATAACAGGGACAGTACTGGTTTATTTTTACAGGAACAGTTTTGGTATAACAGGGACATTACTAGTTCTTTTTGGCAGGAACAGTACTGGTATAATAGGGACGATAGTGGTTTATTATACAGAAACAGTACTGGTATGACAGGGACAGTACTGGTTTATTTTGGCAGGAAAAGTACTGGTATAACAGGGACAGTACTGGTTTATTTTGGCAGGAACAGTACTGGTATAACAGGGACAGTACTGGTTTATTTTGGCAGAAAATGTTTTGGTATAACAGGGACAGTACTGGTTTATTTTGGCAGGAACAGTACTGGTATAACAGGGACAGTACTGGTTTATTTTGGCAGAAACAGTACTTGTATGACAGGGACAGTACTGGTTTATTTTGGCAGAAACGGTACTGGTATGACAGGGACAGTAATGGTTTATTTTGGCAGGAACAGCACTGGTTTATTTTGGCAGGAACAGTACTGGTATAACAGGGACAGTACTGGTTTATTTTGGCAGACAATGTTTTGGTATAACAGGGACACTGAATAGGCAAATAACTTACTTATAATATACAGGTAAAAACCTCCTATAAAACTAGCAAACAAAATAACCTATTACTACATAGAGTAAATAAATATCTGCTAGGCTTGTTTATAATTTGTTCAATGTTAAATCAATGTAATTGATATCTTATTGATAAAAAAATCATACTTATCTCTGACCTTTAAATGTCAGTCCTACTGTAAAATAATTTGCTATGAATGACTCTTACGCTGTTACATTAAGGGAACTGTAGAAGCAGCCTGGATTACTGGATCTTTACTGCTGGCACAGACTTGTCATGTTCAAAGAGTTAAGCATGTTTATATGTGTAGGTGGTTGGTAAATTTATACATATTGATCAAGTACTCATGTTATAAGTAGGTTTGAGCTTCTTGTAAGAAAGATGTTGAAAGAATTCTGACATGTAACAGCTTATCCTTGGTAACAGATGCTAACATTAATACATTATTGTGATTTACAATTATTGTGTGCTTGGTTTTTTTACAAACTTTATTATGTATTGCTGTGTGTGGTTGGCTCCTGAACTTAATGGAATAAATGTTAGATAGATAGATTTAACTAATGTTTTGGGTTTTTGTCAGGGTAAAGTATAATCTTTGATTTGTAGCAACATGTTAATGTTTGATAAAAGAATTTTTGCTTGCGTATTATTTGCAACTTAAATGGATCACATAGAGGAAAAAAGGAATTTTCATATACAGAATATATTTTAGTTCGATTATGTAGGAAGCTATAGTCGAATCTGTTCCTGGAACCAACCAGTACTGAGCAATGAGTGTAAAGTTTCTTGCTCAAGGAAACAACAACTTTGCACTGACTGGGTTTGAACCCATGTAGCTAGTGATGATTAGATTATTATTTGACACGTTAACCACTCAGCCATATATAAATCAGCATCTGCTGGTAAAACCTAATGGAATATTAAATCTACAATTTAAGATGTGAATAAGTACATGTATAGTTACATTTTAAAAAAAGAGTAAACATTTTGTAACAATCAATTCTGCTACCATTGTGCTTTAATTGCTCCAGGAAATGTTAACTCATTACAAGTTCTTTTCTGTGTAAACATGTTTGGTTATGCCACCTTTAATGGCTTCCCCACTTTTGAGTGTGGGGACAACTTTTGAGTGTTGGGACGAGGGAAGCATATATAGATAAATATATATATTTATTGAAGATTAACATAGTCATGCCCATTTATTAGGTCATTATTAGCATATTTGGACAAAGAATTAAAAAAAAAATCAAACAATTTATATTCAGCAATATTGTGCAGTTCTTTAGTGACAAAATGGGATGTGGGGGTAGTGGTGTGCTATTGACATGCAGAGTTTATTTGCCAATATGTTTTTATTCATGACTTGTATCATTAATTATTTTCTTATACAAATATTTCCATAAATCTATGTTGTCAGCTATGCTGTAGCTTTGGGAATTGTTATCGGAATATTGAATAGTTTCCCATAAGAACTATGTAACTTCTTAATACTTTGTCTGGAATTGAGTACTGCATGGTCATTCTCCTACGCAGATGAATTAACTTGTAAACATCTCTGTGAATCATTTCTGTATGTATCAAGCTATGCACCATCATTCTGCATGCATGAGTTCAAACCCATGCAGCCAGGTCTTTCTTAAAACTTTGTTTTAGTTTGTTTGTTTGTTTGTTTAATTGGACACAAACACATTATAGGTCATATGGCGACATTCCACTTCGCTGCTTTACTGGTGGAAGAAGACCTCAGGTGCCTAAGGGCACCTGAGTAGAACCACCGAGGTTCCGTAAGATAGCTGGATAGCTTCCTCTCATGAAAGAATCCAAAGTCCAGTGGTGAGGGGCAAGTTGTTTGAAGTCAACGACTTTAACCACTCGGCCATGAACGCCCCCCTTTGTTTTAGTGTTCAGCATTAAAGAATAGCTATTCAGGACTGTTCAGTCTTTTGTCAAACTTAGGGAATGATGTTACTTTACAATTCATTGTGAGTTATTGTGCACATCTCTTAGAATATTTATAATCTAAAATATCACAGGAAAGGTCACTTTAATGTCATAATTGATAATCCTGATTAAGTGTAATGCAAAAAAGTACATACATGTATACATATGCTCTAAATTGTCACTAAAATTGTCTTACATAACTTCAAGTTTCTATTAACATTCTATCTAGTTTCACTTTTATTTGAGGTAACAAATTGATTTTATAAAGAGACAGCTCTTCTCTACTCTGTACAGGTGGTCATGGTAACAGGAATTTTTTAATGGTTTTAAAATTGTGCTTTTCAGGAAAATAACATGAGGTTAATTGGAAATTTACAGTAATATGGTAATTACATGAGACAACAGTCTGTCTGCCTGTACATAAATCTTTGAGTTTCCTAATGGTAACATACATTATTAAATGATCTGTATTTTATCCTTTTTAGAAATTGTTTAGTTTCTGATTGTTACATAACAGCTTCAGTGGAAACTTGTGACACTAATACAGTCTGTACAGTAACCATCAAACAGAAGCTAGCTGGTATCTGTATAAATTAATACTACAAAAAATAAGTCAGTCTGCATATGTTAATAAGTTCATTAATATTTTGTATGTGTTGAATGACCAACTAAGACTAAGTCATTTCTGATTAGATTTTAGGGAATTTCACATGGTTTGTGATGTATAAACAGCTGACTATAATTCAAGGTGGAGTAAAGTCCATATAACACAATAGTTTTGTGTGAAGATTAATAGATCTCTTTTTATTTACATTACAATTATTGTATT